GGACCCCATTCTTCCAGAAGGGGTAGTTCAGCAAAACAATGAAAGCAAACAAAATTGACAAGAGGCCAAAGAATTCTAAAGCCAAGTTAAAATTGTATCAGAAGCTGCTTAAACAGGATAGCACAAAGAATGTAAAATAAAGCCCCCAGGTTTCATTTCCCTGTCGCACTGGATAAACACTGGAGAAGTCAGCATATATGTTTCATATATGTATTCAGTTTATAAACTGAATTTATTATGTAAAGTAACATTGAGCACTCAAAGCATGATCTCACTAATAAACCCTATCATAAAAATGTATATAAAATGTTCCTGGGATAATTTTTTAATTCAGATGCCCTAGTCCCTCTGATTTCACAGCTCTGAGGTAGGACCCAAGAATCTGTAGTTTTACCAAATGCCTCAAGTGGTATTTTTGTAATCAGAGGAGTTTGGGAAGCAATGATTTAAGGGGCTTCTTGGAGATTTCTATTATTAAGCACATTACACGTAACCACAGTAGTGTATTTATTAGGCACATACGTAATTCAACCCTTTTTAAGTCAATTAAAATTTTTATCTTGTTGTCTAGGATTTTCTTATTTTTCAGGTAGGTTACCTTTCCCTGTGTATTACACTTCACTTCATTGAAGATATACCAAGCTAACCAAGCACACTGTAGTGTCTCCCTTCCAAACACAGTGGATAAGTTCCTGTTTTCTGGAGGATATAAGTTTGTAGAAACTGAATGAGGGCAAGAGGAAGACAGGAAAGGCAAGCTTTATTTTGCAGGTGGCTAATGTCAAAGGAGCTGAAGAGTGGTAGGTTTCACTAAGGGTGACAGAGCAAACACCATTTGTACTTGGTCTCTCTTCTTCACTTCTAATTCCCAGGAGTCTTCTAGGATGTGTGTACTTATTCATCTCTAAGTTAAGGAGTATGCAGAATTTAATCCATTATAGGGAAAAGAACACTAGACCTTAACCATTAAACTGGTGATACTTGGGGAAAGAGATAAGGCTGATGCTATTAGCTTATTATGTACTTACCTCTCCACTGCCAGGATCATTTATTAGTACGATTTTGTCTGTTCTTGCATGTACAAATATCTGGACTATTAAGGAGAGAATAGTTTTGTTAGTTTACATAATTACCTCCCTGAATGACAGGCTCCTTTCTGAATATGCCAAGTATTCTTCTACCTCAGGGTCTTTGCACTTGCTCTTCCATCTGCCTGTATTCTTGTCCCAGGTATCTTCAGTGCCTGATCTCTCACTTCCTTCTGGTCTCTGCTCAAAGGTCATCTCATCACAGAGGCCATCCCTGACCATCTTATATAAAATATTTCCCATTATTCTTAATCTTTTTTGCCTACTTTGCTTTCCTTCATACCAAGTATTACCTCTCATTTGTTATATATTCCTTCTTGATTGATCTACTGTCTGTTTTTCCCCCTACTAGAATGTAAACAGCATGAAGGCAAGAACTCTGTTCTATTCACTTAGTGAATTTCAATGCCACCATCAATGCCTGGTATATAGTGGCACTCAAGATATATTTGTTAAATAAATGAATAGATATTTTTAATGGTTTGAGGAGGATATTGTCTTATTACTTCTTAATACTTGTGATCTTAAAATATACAAGCATGCATCTATAAAACTAAAGAGTAGAAAGTTTAATTAAAATGTTTCATCCTGTTACTTGAAAGTTCCTACTGTATGAGATAGCTATAACTTTGAGCATTTTCTGTTTCCTTTCTAGAAAAACGGCCAGACTCCTTAAACACATAGAATGACTAAAAGAAATTGTCCTAGGCAAAAGCAGGGTGAGTAAGGAGAAGAAAGATTGAGATATCATGACCTGATAAATACATTATCGTACTTACATTGTGACTTTTAGGCACTTGCCAGGTATTGGCTGAATTAAAATTATGTCTATGCACAGCTCGCTTTCCTTGAGAGTGTGAACCCCTTGAGGGCTGGTTCATCTCATACATTTTTTTACCCTCCCATAATGCCTATGTGAATGTGTTGCAAATAGTTTGTAACCAGAAAACATCTGTGTAGTGAAAAATACCTGTGGGTATCAAATAAAATTATATCAATATATGTAATATTATATTCTCCCTGAATATATTTTATATATTTTGACAATAAAAATAAAGTTTCTAAATCTATCACTGCCTTACTAAAATACACAAGCTTGTTGACAAAGACCATAATAAATCTTATAGAATTTAAGGAGGAACAGAAAATCTTCAAATATGTACAAAGACAAGCTGTCCTAAAAATAGTGATAGCATCAACATTACAGAACATAAAAAGCAGAACATCACAATCTGAAAAGTCCACAATCATAAAGAAGATGATGCTACTTCAGTCGGGACTTGCGACCTGGAATGATCTTCTATGCTATCCAAAAGATTACCTACACTTTGATGGGTTTATGCAAAAATATCCCATGCGTATTCTTTCAGGTTACTTCTAGAAAGCAGACAGGCCTTCTGGGTGGATTTACCTTGAAACGGATAAAGCTCAAGCTTTGGGACTCTTTGCTTGCTCTGGCAGGAAGGAAGCCAGAATAGGTTTCTCTCTTCAGCTCTTTTTTTTTTTAGAGCCCACATTCCCACCCCACCTAACACACAGTTGCATAAGCTTCAGGCCGGTGAAACCCAGACCCACTCCTCCGGTCCTCCACATTAAGAAAACAATGCTAGAATTCCTAAAAACCCAAGTTATCATTTATTAATTTTAAGCGTTTCTCAACAGTCCAGGCAGAGAGAGAGAGGCAAGTGGGGTCCAACAGTCCTTTGCGGGTATTGTTCTTAATGGCATTACTTTTACCGGGATACAAAATTAAGTCTTGGAAGGTATGACTAGATAAAAGCTACTTTTATTACATATAAGTATATGTAATCCCAAATAGTCATTACCAATAAAAATCAAGTAATGCATCATGGTGAAACCAGATTGCTAAAGCAGAACTTATTTTCAACACTAAACAGTCTGTTGGTGCTAGGAGTAACAGCAGGTTAAAATAAAAATCGGTCCGCTTTCATTCCGAATTCAAGGGAGTCACGTTGCATTACAAAACTAAGCAGGGCAACCAAATGCTAATCGTGGGGTTTAATTAAAGAACTGCAACAAGGCGTATCTGATATGCACTAGGTCTGCAACCATTTTCGACACGAAGATCAAAACAATCCAAAAATTCCTGCTGTCATCTCCGGGTTTTGGCTACCGAAATTTTCAAGCTCGGGTCATGATTTCCCAAAGGCTCCAGAGAGCATGTGAGCGGGGGTAGCGTAGGTCCGCACAATCACACGCGGACCTCCCTAGCGCTGCCCCCGCGCCGGCCCTCTCGCAGAGTCACGCCGGTCGTGGAGCAAGCAGCTCTGGGTCGATGGGCAGAACCGTACTATTATCTGGTAGTGGTTCTGGGGGCTGTCGTTGTCGCTGCTGTGCAAGGGTGACAGCCCGGGTCGTGAGGCGCTTCTCCTCTACGGGCGGCGTTCCTCGGAAGACGGCCCACCCCCAGCCCCGGGCAGGTCCCTAAGGCATTCCCGCGGCGCGCTCGCGGCCCGTCAATCTGGGACCGGTCCCGGGCCAGTTCGGGGGGGCCCCGCGGCCAGGTGGCGCCCGGCCCCGGCCCCGGGCCCGGCCCCGGCCCCGGCGAGGGCGCCTCGGGAAGGTCTCCTTGGGGAGGCCCAAACACCAGGGCGGCGTCGCCGCGGGAAGCAGAAAGGCGGCCGCACGCCCTTCCCCGGGGACTCGGCCAGGTCCCAGCCCGGAACGCGCCCGAGCGGGGGAAGGGAGTGCCGCCGCCTAGTCCCGAGGAGGCCGCGGGACCCACCTCCGGCTCCCTCCCGCCCCCGCCCTCGGCCCCACCTCCCCCGGCTAGCACAAAGCCGTCCCGAGGCGGGGGCGGGGGCGGGGGCGGGGGCCGGGCCCGCGCGAGGCCGCCGAGACGCGACCCGACGGCGGCCCGGCGACCCCGAGGCTCGGGCCGCGCAGGCCGCCGATCCCCGGGCCCGCCCGGAGGTCCCGTCCCGTCCCGGACGGAAAGGACGCGCTTGCCCGCGCCGCCCTCGGGGCGCCCGGGGCCCGGAGAAGGCCCGGCGCGACCCACGCCGCCTCGCTGGCCACGCCCGGGGTGGCGGCCGGGCCGGGGAGCGCCGCGCAGGCCGGGCCGCGGAGGGCCGCCGGCTCGCTCGCTCGCGGGGCGGTGCGCGCGCCGCCCGACGGGGTGAGCCGGGCGGCTGCAGGGGCCCTCTGGCGCCTCCACGGAGGTGCCAACCGAGGCCCCAAATCAATTCCCCTCACTTCCTGGGGCCCCGCGCTCGCGCACCTGCGGGAGGCGACACGCGGGGCGGGGCGGGGCGGGCGGCGGGGGTGGGGGCGGGGTGCGACCCCGGGACCCCGGGACCCCGGGACCGCGGCACAGGGGCGCACGGGCGGGCGCGCACACGCACCCGCGGCCGGGTCGGGAACATGGCCGTTTCTGCCCCAGTATAAAGGCTCTTTGTTGCGCTCACACAAAAGCGGCCGGGACCCGCTCCGCTCGCAGGCCCTTCGCACAAATCGAGGGAACTCGGCTGAATTTCCAAATGGCCTTAGAAGCCTGAAGCGGTGGGAGCAACTCAGGGGGCAGGAGGGAGGCCTCCCGCCTCGTCCGCCCAGACCTCGGTCAGCAGGCAAGTGCTCGCCCCGGGAGGCGGGAGCGGAGATCCCCCGCAAGGGAGGAAGAAAAAGAGGAAAAGCTACTGTGGCTATCAAGGCCCAAAGGGGGGTATTAAACATTCGCATTCTTGTAGGGTTTCTCCACTTAACCAAGGTAGAAACATAATCTGGAAAAGTCTGGATACAACAAAAAGAAAAAGAAAAAAGAAAGAAAAAAAATACCAACAATAGCAACTTAAAAAAAAAAAAAAAGCACACACCAAAAACAAAAACATAACAAACCAGTTGCCATCAGCCCAAAGTGGTAGCAGCAGCAGCCGGCGCGTGTGATCCACTTACTTGTCCGACTCTTGTGACATGTTTGATCCAATGAACTCGCTCCCCTTTTCCTGGAGCCTCAGCCTCTGGTGAAACTGGACTTTCAAGTCTGTGCAGGTGAAGGTGTGTGAGAGCGCCCGAGATGGCAGAACAAGAGCTACAGGTAATTCTGCTTTTCCGTCCCCCCTCACCACTCTCGCTCGCTCGCCCGCTCGCGCCCTCACCTAGCCGGAAAGGTGGGATAAGGGGGGGCCCTCACATGGGGCCCGAGCTCGGAGGCGGCCGGGCGGCGCGGAGTCCTCCTGGATCGTGGCAATGGGCGGCCACAGAGCAGAAAGTGGCGGACTTGGGCGGCCACAGGTAACTTTCTCGCAAGGAGCTGAATTCTTTCACTAAAGGATACGAGCCCGAGGGACGAGCTGCGCGGTGATTGGCTGCGAGGCTCCCTCAGGTGAGCTGCCATTGGCAGGGGCGCGCTCAGGTAAGGCCCTTCTCCAAGTGCAGGTAACTCACTCCGTAGTTTACCTGCGTGGAGCGGCGGCCCGCCTGCAGCTCTGCGGCAGCCCGTGGGAGCTGAGGGTCGCTGCTCTGAGCAGACCTACGCCACGCTTCCTTCTTCGCGGAGGCCGGCCGGGGAGGGGGGGGTGGGGGGGGCGGGAGGAAAAAAGCAACACTTGCAGCCACTAGGGATTGTGGGTCAAACGGAAGGCCTAAGGAGAGCTGAACTCAGGTACCCCGAGCCGGCCGGAGTCAAACGCGCAGCCTGACCGCAAGGCTTTGCATACCCACTTTTTGACGTTGTCAGAAGTTTACCTTGTGCTCCGAAGGGTAAAAACACAAAGATTGCCCAGTCTGTTGTGTAATTGCATTTTTAACATTCTTATCCAGAACAAACACTTTTCGTGTCCCGATGTGTAAAAGATACCAGGTAGATTACAGATTTTCACATCGATGAGCATCCTTTCATGGGCTAGGCCGATGAAGAGTGGGGTGGTTTTGATGGGGTGAGAAGATTTGGGGTGAATAGACGCTAAGATGGCCCAGGCCTGTGTCTTCTATCTCAACTCTAGCCGGGGATTCCAGAGCTGCAAACAACCACCGAATCCCTTCTATAAACCTGTTGTCATTTGACGTTTCCAGGCAGGCATCAACATTTACATTGTAATTCAATAGAAGCAGCGACTACAAAGGTGCTTTATCCTTCCAGCTTAATATGGTTGCTATGGAAACAATTCAGGATGAAACTGACTTTTTTGCGGTTCTGTTTCTCCTGGTTGGGAACAACGCAGATTACCAAAGGTTTAATTTATAACCACTTGTTCCTAAAGAACATTGGTGAAAGTTCTGACAGGAATGTAGTCCATACCTATGAATCGTTGAACTAAGGAAAGCATGGAGAGTATATCATATTTTATTTCAAGTTAATACTACATTGCCAGAAATGATACCCAACTTCTATTTTAATCTTTATGGACCAGATATTTCCTGAAAATTATGCCCTGAGACAGGTTGTTTGATTGTTTGTTCCATGTTTCATGCTCAGCAAATCAATTAAAACTTTTATTCTCACACAGTATAAGCACACACACTTTTTAAATATAACGTATTTAAATACAATACCCACCGTTTCTCTACCTTCTTAATCTCCTTTCTAAAAGCATCCACATTCCACTTTTAGCCATGTCTTCTGTCATTGACCTCTTTATTTTTTTTTCTTTCTTTCTTTCTTTCTTTCTTTCTTTCTTTCTTTCTTTCTCTCTCTTTCTTTTCTTTTCTTTTCTTTTTTGGATAAAGATTTTAAGTAATGTCTACACCCAAGGTGGAGCTTGAACTCATAACCCCAACATCAAGAATTGCATGCTCTTAGGACTGAGCCAGCCAAGGTGCCCCGACCTCCCCATTTCTAAACAATTTATACTTTTTTTTATGCCACTGAGAGGGATTTATTCTCCCATGAAATTAAACTATAGCACTCTGAACTGTCTATTTAGAGCTGCAATTCCATCCAAGATTTATGTTAAGATTTTTCTCTTCACTCAAAAACAAGACTCCAAGAAAAAAAAATCGTTCAGGAAAAAGAAATTGAAAGCCCTCCAAAATAATTAATTTTGTTTACATCTGGAAATAAAGGCAGATGTTACCACTTTACACTGACAGGTGCCACACCATGGGCTCATCCACACAGGCTCCTCCTTATAAAACTTGTACTGCTCTTAAAGTGATTTGACACCCAGAGCTCTCCCTTGAAGTCACAGATAGGTGCTCAGGACTTCCTCTGCAGAAGAGGCTCAAAGGCTTTATAATTTATACTGATATCTTTTGATTTATCAATTTAGATGTTGTGCTTTGACCACCTGTCGCCCTTCGAAAAGGATTTAGATCTTTCAAACTTCATACAGTTTCCCCTTCCACCATTCTACCAGCATAGATAGCTCTTTCACCATTTAGCGGTAGTAACTGGTGACTGCAAATACCAGTGACAACAGAGCCAACTAGTGTACTGTGGTTGTTTTCTTTCTTACAAAACCTTTCATCTGTTTACTTAGTAATGCACCAATCTTTATATTTTTCCTGCAACGTATCTATCAAATGACTATTACGTTTATTTTCCAAAAGATCAAATAATCCCATTTCCCCCCACCGAAAACATCCCTCCAGAAGTTCACTGTCCTCCTATTCCAAAGGAGATGAATTTGTCTCAGGACTCAGTTGTCATCTTGAGACATTCTCTCATCTCCAGAGCAAGAACTCCATTTCTTTGTCCTGTGCCTTCTTTCTTGGTTTACCGCTTCATTTTTTCATGGCACATGTTCTGGTAACAACCCAAGAAAGGGTACAGAAGGCAAAACTTCAAATGGCTTTATTCAGTCCTTACTTTTGAAAGAAAGTTTGACCAAGTATAGGATTCTAAGTTGAAATTTTTCATTCAGAAATTGATAAAAATTGCTCTTTCTCCTCTAATATCCGGTGTTTCTATTGAGCATTCCAGTGAAACCCTGATTTCCATTTCTTTGTGACCTGGAATTTTTCTTTCTAGAAATGTGAAGAATAGTCTGTTAATTTCTAATATTCTGAAATGTCATAATTATGCTCCTTAGTTCTCTAGTATTCTAAAATTTCGCTGTGTTGAAGGCTTCTATCAAATGTCTGCAAACCTTTGACTCTCCGATTCATACTTAAGAATTAAGTCCTAAAACCCACCAGAAATTTTACGTATAAGGGTGGGCAGGAGTGGGCTTGCTGTTCAGAGATCAGATGGAGTTTCTTCTTTCCATAGATTCTTCTTTTATTTTGAGCTCTTCAGATTCTCAGGAGAAATATCTACAATCTTTTACCTGAAGGGACTTTCAGCTGGCTGCCGATATTCTGGAAGCAGTTCAGGGGAAGGGGTCCAGGTAAGTCATTGCTTACTATGCAATTTTTCCTGTTCTTTTCTTTCCTGTAGGTGCCTTGCTCCTGCCTGGTGTACAAGTCTCTCTGCTGTTTCTCTGGCTGGAGGTAATCATCTGGCTGCAAGAAATGGGACAGGAGACCTGAAGATCTAATAACTCCAAAAGCCCACATTCACTCAAGCCCCTGGGTCTCACCTCTTCTCCACTTCTGGGACCCTGAGCCCCCTCATCAGCACCTCCTTCTGATTTCTGGACCCAGGGCATTCTGAGGCTTGGTAGCCTATCGAGCTCTTTTTCTATTGACCTCTAGGATGATATTAGATTTTTTTTTCTTTTTTAAAGATAGATTTATTTATTTATTTATTTATTTATTTATTTATTTATTTAATTGAGACAGAGAGAGGGCACAAGGGGGGGAGGAAGATCAGAGGGAGAGGGAGAAGCAGACTCCCCACTGAGCAGAAAGCCAGATGTGGGGCTTGTTCCCAGGACCCTGAGATGGGGATCTGAGCTAAAGACAGATGCTTAACAAACTGAGCCACCCTGGTGCCCCTAAGACAATATTCGAAAGTAGCTTTTGCTGCTCTCTTAAACCAGTTTCTACTGGTCCACCCACCCCATCTTGCAGAATTGTGTTGAAGTACATCTTTTGCAGATGACCCCTCCTTCATGCCCTTTGTTCCTGTGTATTTATTCTTTGTGTTTCATTACTGTCATTTTTAGGAGACCATAAAGATAAACAAGTGTGAGTCCGTCCATCATATTTAGTTTGCAGCCATTTTAAAAAAATATCCAAAAGCTTTTATCACATTTGTCACAAATTTGTTGGTGGAAACAAAGCAAATGCATTTCTGGCCAAACTTTTCTTTTTATTGGTCAGTGATGTTGAGGATTCGTTTCTTCTTCTCCAACATCATTCCATTCCCAACCTAGTGATTGTTTATATAATGGTTGACCACTGTCTTTAATTGGAGCAATTAGCACATCAAAAAATGAGCCTGGAATTTGCCACAGTATTAATCATAGACTTAAAAGTCTCCGCACAATTTAGGGTTTGATGGTCACTTTAGGTGGCAGCAACAAAGCAAATTTTCAGATAAAAAGCTAGTCATAAAATAATATTGTTTTTAAACTAAATTATTTCATTTGTGAGATTAAAATTGTAGTTAAATTCACAGGCAAGAAAAATAGAATTCGGGCAGCCGGGGTGGCTCAGCGGTTTGGCACCTGCCTTTGGCCCAGGACGGGATCCTGGAGACCGGGGATCAAGTCCCAAGTAGGGCTCCCTGCATGGAGCCTGCTTCTCCCTCTGCTCATGTCTCTGCCCCTCTCTCTGTGTGTGCCTCTCAGGAACGAATAAATAAAATCTTAAAAAAAAAAAAAAAAGGAAAATAGAATTCTTTATTTTATTAACATTTTAGTAGTAATCTTTAGCATATATTATGATGACTAATTACATTTTCCTAAAGCAATAAGTTTAATGTTTGATACTAAATTGCTGTTTTATCATGATGAATCTTTAATTTTTTATTTTTAAAGATTTTATTGATTAATTTGAAAGAGACAGCATAAGCAGGGCCAGGGCCAGGGGCAAGCAGACTCCCTGGTGAGTGGGGAGCCAGTGGCAGCTCAATCCCAGGACCCTGAGATCATGACCTGAGCCAAAGTCAAAAGCTTAACCAGCTCAGCCATTCAGGCACCCTTACGGTAAATCTTTTATAGTGAGACTTTGGGAGAAGGATGCCACTTCTGCAGAATCTGGGCAGAAATCTCAAGTTTTAATGGCTTACAGTGAAACTACTCTAGTAAAACAAGTCTGGCTACTGTTTGTTTGCCCACCACATATTATCATACACTGGGCCACTACAGTATGACTGTCATTGAATATACTGCAGAGCCATAGTATTTTGTACTATAAAAACACTAACTTGTTTTATTGGCTATTATCCCCAAGAAGAAACCTTGGGAAGAATGAAATGGACCCAGATGCCTGATTTTGAAATCAACAAAAAGATTTATTACTTAATCACCTGAGCATTAAAGAGCAGTTTCCTTGTTGTTTGGGGCCACTTCTATTTCTCACAGTTGCATGGATAGGTGTATTTGCATGGACATTTACTGATTCTATAAAGGCTCTTGAACCATGGTGTGGAATCCAGCTAGCAGTTAGCTGAGGTTTGCATATTTCCTTCAGGTTAGCAAATGTTTTGGTTTCTTGGGCTGGCCATTAGTAATTCTTTAGTAAAAAGAGTGGTCCTGTTAAAACAGGGTGCATTGGGGCACCTGGGTGGCTCAATGGTTGAGCATCTGCCATTGACTCAGGTCATGATCCCAGGGTCCTGGGATGAGTACTGCATCCTCCCTCTGCCAACATCTCTGCCTCTTTCTCTGTGTCTCTCATGAATCAATAAATAAAACCTTAAAAAAAAAAAACCTCTTTGTTTAAAAATAAAATAAAACAGGGTGCATTGAACACGTCTTTATCTCTACTTCCTCCTGCAGTCCCACTGGTAGAAGAATAAGAGAAGAGATGATAAGGTTAAAGATGACAACAAAATCTAGTAACTGGAAAGTAACTAAAGGAGAAAGAAATGACTTAGCTGAACTGTGAAAGATGAACCTGAGCATCTGTAGGCTCTAAGATCAAGCCTGGTTAGCCTGCAGAACCTCATAAAGGTTAGAGCAATCAAGGTTCCAGTTATCATTGAAGGTGGGAGTGAGTAATAGGGCTGAAACCAGAGGGATTGATTCAAAATCTGGATACAAAACTATTAGGCCCCTACGTCCTCATGCCAAGCAGCATAATCAAGTTCCCACCCTATTGCTTTGCTAGGGCTGCCCTAACAAAGCACCACAGACTATGTGGTTTAAACAACAGGAATTTATTTTCTCATAGTTCTGAAGGCTTGAAGTCCAAGAGTCAAGGATTTGGCAGTTAGTTTCATTCTAAAGCTGGTGGCCGATGTGTGGTTGTGTCCTCAAATAGTCTTTTCACTGTGAATGCATGTCTGTGTCCCAATCCTTTTCTTTTCTTTTCTTTTTTTAAGATTTTATTTTTCAGTAATCTCTACACCCAATGTGGGGCTGGAACTCATAACCCCAAGATCAAGAGTCGCCAAATGAGTCAGCCAGGCATCCCCTAATCTCTTTTTCTTTTTTTTCTTTTTTTTAAGATTTTATTTATTTTTAACACACACATGCAGAGAGAGAGAGAGGCAGAGACACAGGCAGAGGAAGGAGCAGGCTCCATGCAGGGAGCCTGATGTGGGACTCGATCCTGAGTCTCCAGGATCATGCCCCGGGCCCAGGCTGCCCCTAATCTCTTTTTTTTTTTTAATAAGGACATTAGTTATAGTGGAATAGGACCCAGCCATATTATCTTTTTTCTTAATTCATATTATCATTTTATCTTAATTGCCTCTTTAAAAGCCCTCTCACTACAATTACATTGTAGTGGCACTGGGGATCACAACTTAACATTTAGGGGAGGCACAGCTCAGCCCCAAACCCTATCCTTCCTCCATGCTGGCAGGAGACAGACGTGTCAAATGGAACCCAGCAGACTTTAAGCTAAGGTACATCAATCATCAAGAGTGAGGCATTGGACCTAACAGCAAGGAGAGTAAGTGAAAGACCAAATGCTCATCAGGGAGACACCATCTCCTCACTCTCTCTACTCAGCTTCGCGAACCTGGAGCCAAGTGTATACTACCACCACTCATGCCTCCCCGCATTAGTCAGCAAGTCCCATGCTCACACAGGGAATGTCTAATATGCCACACTCTTAAATATAAATATGAGATCACAGATTTGAGAGAAGCCATCAAAATGAAGTATAAAGACCAGAGCAAAAATCTAATTAAGAGAGTGATCTTGAGGTAAGCAGTACAGGGATGGGATAAAGATTATAAAATTAATATATAAGAAGGTGTTACAGTCATGAAAGAAGAAGAGCATGCTGTTTAAAAACAATAAAAAAAATCATCAAAGAACCAAGATGAATTGTGGACTTCAAAATATAAAAGCTGGGTAGCCCCAGTGGCCCAGCGGTTTAGCACCACCTTCAGCCCTGGGTGTGATCCTGGAGACCAGGATCAGGTCCCATGTCATGCTCCCTGAATGGAGCCTCCTTCTCCCTCTGCCTGTGTCTCTGCCTCTCTGTGTGTGTGTGTGTGTGTGTCATGAATAAATGAACAAAAATAAATAAATAATAAATAAATAAATAAATAAATAAATACAAATAGAATAGAAAAGCTGAAATAGAGCCATTTGTCATATACTTAAAGATAGAATCTAAGAAACCTTCCAGAAGGTAGAATAAAAAGACAGCAATATAGGCAATAAGAGAGAAAAGATAAGAAAATTGCAGGATCAGTTAGGAAGATCTAATATGTGACCCATAGGTGTTTCAGAAAGAAAGAATGGAAAAAAGGTTGGGAAGAAAACTTTTAGAGGAAAAACAAAATACTACTTTTGAGAACTCAAGCATTGTGAGTCTCCTGATTGATCTGATCACGTAGTGCGCAGTACAGTGGATTCTAAATGACGTAAATTGAGGCAATTATGATTAAATTTCTGGGCTGACCTTTCCAGAGAGTAAAAGTAAAGTGAAATGAGCAGAGAAAATGCTCAGACACAAAGGCTCAAGAATCAGAATATATTAGCTCTCTCAACAACATTGCCAGCTTGAAGCTATTAAAAGCAGTACCTCTGATACTGAATTGTATGCCTACACAAGTTATCAATGAAGTATAAAAGTAGGATGAAATTCAACTTCAGAAATGGAGTCTCAAAAGTGCCTCTCATGCACTCTTTCTCAGAAAAATTTGGACAACGTACTCCTTTAGAAATTAGGAGAATGAGGCAGAACCAAGAAAGACAGTCTTAAGACCCAGAAAACAGGAGAGTCAGCAGAAGAGGCAGTTGGAGGGGTGTCAGAATGGTGGCTTTGTAGCAGGCTCAGAGAGCAATGAAACCCTCTTTCAACAGAGGTCTCTGGGTGGCAGGAGGAGGTGGAACCCAACGATTACATTTAACATTGTGGAAAGTTATATTGAGAAATTTTTTGAGGGTGTGGAAAGCCAGAGAAAACAAAATACATAGTTAGCATTCAGTAGC